CGTCTTGGCGTCGTCGTCGTTTCCGTCGTCGTTGTCGCCGTGGTCGTCCTTCCTCCCTCGTCGTCTTCGTCGACGTCTCGTCGTTGTCCCTCCTATTTCGTCGCCGTCGTCGTCGTCGGGGCCGCCGTCTTCCTCCCTCGTCATTGTTGTCGTCGCCGTCTCGTCCTCCCTCTTCCCTCGTCGTCTTCGTTGGCGACGTCGTCGTCGTCGTCGTCGTCGTCGTCGTCTTCGTCGTTGTCGTCGTTGTCGTCGTCGTCGTCGTCGCCGCCGTCAACGTCGTCGTCGGCGTCGTCGTCGTCGTCGGCGTTGTCGTCGTCGGTGTTGTCATCGTCGTCGTCGTCGTCGTCGTCGTCAGCGTCGGCGTCGTCGTCGTCGTCGGTGTTGTCGTCGTCGTCGTCGTCGTCGTCGTCGTCGAAGTCGTTGGAGACTCGCCCGCAACGTCTACCGTTGTCGACGTTGCCATGATACCGCGCCCGCCCAAGTCGCCGACTCGCAATGAAGTGCCAGCTGGTATGTGCCCAACGATCAGCGCCACCGCGGCCGCGTCGGTCGGTCGCGCCAAACCAGCTGGCCACTGCGCGCGCGTGCTTGGGTCGGCGCGTCCGCAGAGACGCACCAACCAACGCCGAGCATGCATCGTAATCGCCACCTTATGGGTTTTGCAAACCAGGTTGCGGGTGGGTGGGTGGGATGTTTCCAAGAGCGCGGGATGTGTCAACTCGTTTGTTTAAATCACTTGCATCACATATATGGCGCCGCGTATGTTGCACCGCATAGATTGCAATACATAGGTTGTATCTCGTAAATTGCACCACGTAAATTGCACCGCGTAAACTGCATTGCATAGGTTGCAACGCGTATATTCTCCTTTCGAAAAGAAGAATAAACTCTACCCCCCTGGAGTTAACGGGCCACCTTTTCGTATTGCAAGTTGCATATGATTCTGCCCCATCGTCCATCCTACCTGTGAATTCACACTATCTCAGCAAAAACGGTATCGCCCCCCCCGCCATCCTTTACAACAAATGCTGTGCGCGCACACTCGTTTATCACAACTCATAAGTTTCACGAATCCCTTGCAAACGAAAAGGGCGAAATGCACACGAGCGCGTCGTCGCGCGCGCATGCCGGAATCCTTCAAACACCTTCGATTTCGAAAAGATCTCAAAATCGAGTTTCCAAAAAAACATACAAACACGCCAGGTCTCGCAAAACTGATTTGCTTAATCAATTTACGCGCACGCTCTTGCGAAATCTTAAGGATGCCACAGGCTTTTCAAGATTTTCAAGAACTGCTACCAAACGGGCTTCGCGCGCGCGCATGTCGAAATCTGTCGAACGCCCTTGCGCGCGTGCCGTCGCGAGACCCCTCTGCAAAAAACGGGACGAAGTGCGCACGCGCGCGTCGTCGCGCGCGCATGTGGAAATCCTTCAAACACCTTCGGTTTCGGAAGGATTTCAAAATCGAGTTCCCAGAAAACATACAAAAGCACAGGGTTTCGCAACACGGCTTTTCAACAAAAGCGTGCGCGCGCGCTCTTGCGTCGTCGTCGTCGTCGTCGCCGTCCTCCCTCCTCCCTCGTCGTCGTCGTCGTCGTCGTCCTCTGTCTTTCCTCGTCGTCGTCGTCGTGGTCGTCATCGTCTTGGCGTCGTCGTCGTTTCCGTCGTCGTTGTCGCCGTGGTCCTCCTTCCTTCCTCGTCGTCTTCGTCGGCGTTTCGTCGTTGTCCCTCCTATTTCGTCGCCGTCGCCGTCGTCGTCGTCGTCGTCGTCGTCGTCGTCGTTTTCCCTCCTCCCTCGTCGTTGTCGTCGTCGGCGTCGCCGTCCTCCCTCCTTCTTCGTCGTTCGCGTCGTCGCCGTCCTCCCTCCTCTCTCGTCGTTGTCGTCGTTGCCACCGTCGTCGTCCCCCCTCCTCCCTCGTCATTGTCGTCTTCGTTGGCGACGTCGTCGTCGTCGTCGTCGCCGTCGTCGTCTTCGTCGTCGTCGTCGTCGTCGGCGTCGTCGTCGTCGTCGGCATCGTCGTCGTCGTCGTCGTCGTTGTCATCGTCGTCGTCGTCGTCGTCGGTGTCGGCGTCGTCGTCGTCGTCGTCGTCGTCGTCGTCGTTGTCGGCGTCGTCGAAGTCGTTGGAGACGTTGTCGGTGCTGTACTAGTCGTTGTCGGCGGCGTCGTCGTCGACATTGTCGCTGTCGTCGTCGGCGTCGGTGTCGTTGCCAAGTGCCATTTGGTACCCGCCGTCACGGTCTTAAGAGGTTTTGCAAACCAAGTTGCGGGTGGGTGGGTGGGATGTTTGCGCGAGCAGTGGAGCGGACAACTCACTGCGAACAGAAATTAATTGCACCACGTAGATTGCACCGCGTAGATTGCACTACATATGTTGCACCGCGTAGATTGCACCACATATATTGCACCGCGTAGCTTGCACCGCATATTTTGCATTATATAGGTTGCATCGCATATGTTGCACCCGTAGGCTGCAATAGCCTTCTGCTTGATGTCCACGCTTGCTACACTTCTATTTCGGCATATGTTTATATACATACATGTATAACTACGTAACTGCATGCATACTTTTGTACATGTGTGTATGCTGCAAGCAACTTGTAAATGTCGGGGGGTCTTCAAACAATCACTGGATTGCAATGATGTGCCCGTGCATCCGTCCATGCTGTATCTGTTTACGACAGAGTTCACGTGCCACTATGTCGAACGTCTACTTACGACACCAATGTCGTGAGGCGAATGACTTATTGCATACGATGCCGACAATCCTACTGTCCACACTGCCTTGGTGCCATCTACGTGCTTGTCTCCTTCATGGCACACTCCTACCTCGCAGCTGCAATTTGTCAAACATCTTCTCATACCATCCAGGTCCCCGTGCGCACGCCCATTCCCCCGAGTGGCCAGTTTGCCCGCGTTGCTCCCTGGCGTCGGCGCTAGAAATATGAGAAGTGGCACACTGGCTTGACGTACGTGCTCATCTTCCTCCCTCCTCCCTCCTCCTCCTCCTCCTCATCCTCCTCCTCTTCCTTCTCCTGCTCCTCTCCTTCGTCCTCATCATCCTCCCTCTTCCCTCTTTCGCCTATTCTCTATCCGTCCTTGTCGTCGTCGTCCTCGTGGTCGTACTTTTCCTCTGGCGGCCGGTCGACAACATGATCCTCGCCACGGGGTGCCTAGGGGGCAGCAGGGGACCCCTGGTACCGGTCGCGGCCATGAGAGGCTCCCGCACCCCCTGGCGGGCCTTCGAAGCCTTCTGCGGGGGGATTGCTGCTGGCGGTGGGCGAGGGGGGCAGTGAGTGATGGGAGGGCGAACGGCGAATAGGGCAGGGAGGGGGATGGGATGGGGCGAGCAACGGAGGGGGTGGGGAGATCGAGGCACTGCTTGAGGGATGGAAAATAAGAGAGCAAAGGGAAGGAAGTGACCAAGCAGGGATGAGAGCGAATGATGATGACGATGATGATGACGATGATGCTGGTGATGATGATGATGCTGATGATGCCGTCAATAATGACAATGCTGATGATTGAATGGCTGTTGTTGATGATGACGATGATAAGTGTTATTGATAATGATAATGATGACGATGCTGCTGCTGATGATGACGACGACGGCGATGATGATTATGATGATGATAATTCCGACGATGATAATGATGATGCTGCTGATGATGATGATGGTGATGCTGATGTTGCTTTAACTGTTGTTGTTGATGTTGATGCTGATGATGGTGGTGATAGTGATGGTGATGATGCTGATGATAAGGCGGAAGAGGATTACACGATGAGGATGGTGATGCGGAGGATGAGAGGTGCACTGCGAAGTGTATTCCCCTGTCCGGCCAGCAATGACACATGCGTGCAGGCCACGGGTTTGTGCTGGTCTGCGGGACGAGGTTGGGAACGTCGGGGACCCTGCCCGCATACGATGGAGCAGCCGCCAGGGCAGGCCCACTCGTACCAAGGCAAACTTACATAGACAGCCTGCCTGGGACCTCCCCCCCCTCGAAACGGCCCGCTGGGGCTTCAAGACTGCCCCAGAACCTGTCCACACGTCCACAATGTTGTTCAATTGAGTCTCTTCGGGAGAACTCAGTGGAACCATAGCGCCCACGATGGCACCGAGACCCCAACGGGCTCCATCAGGCCCCCAACAGGCTCCCAAGAAGGTACAAGAAGCCCTCAAGACGCCGAGGAGCTCCCAATGAGTGTCCAAAATGCTGTCGCAAGGGAATGAAAAGGAGAACAAGGCTGCGGACAAGGAGGGGGTCAAGACCTGCGCAGTTCAAACAAGGCACTGATCTCGAGGGGCCCCTGAACTCAACCTCCTTCCTGCTGCGCTGCTACGCTGGCACGGTGGTGGGTTTTGACTCAGGCAGATGGGTGCTATGCTGTGACATTTTGGGTGCTGCTACCTTATGTTGCGCTATGCTGCGAATGATATGCTACGGCAAATCATGACATGATATGCCATGCAACGTTATGCAATGGCTTGCCACGTTATAGGATTTCTACGCTATGCTGCCATGGCATGGCATGCACTGCATTGCTATTCCATGTGCCATGCATGACTCTGCAACACCATGGCATATAACGCTAGCCTCGGAATGCTACGATATGCTATGCTAGGCTCTGCCATAGTATGACATACCATTCCATACCATGATATGCAGTGCTACGTAATGGTATCAATGCAACGCGCTGGTGTGCAATGCCATGAGGTGCTGTGCTATGCTTTGCCCTGCCATGCCAAGCTAGGTATTGCACTGCACTGCATACCGCTACATCGCACTGCCCATGCGCCCTCTCAGCAGAGAGAACATGCCCCCGATCGGGGTCGCGCCTTGGCCCACGGCTTTCTCGAGGGCACCAGCACGCTGGGCGCGCACCCCCCCTGCCCAATCTCTCGCCCAAGGTCCTCACAGCCCGCGCCGGGCCACCTCGCCAGCCGCGGGCAAAATCCACCGCGTGAGCGGGTTGGCCCGCCGCCACGCGCGGCCGAGCTCACCCGGCCCGAGCCGCGCCCTCGACCACGACGGCCGCGCCGCAGGAGATCGTGCGCTCGAAGCCCAGCGTGAGGGCCACGGCGGTCAGCACGGGTATGCTCACATTGTAGCTGATCCCCAGCGGCTCGTAGTACTCGGCCAGGGTGGCCACAAGCGCGGCGATGAAGACGGGGTACTCGCGCAGGTAGGACTGGTGGAAGATGCCGCACCCGAGCAGGAAGCAGACGACAAACATGGTGGCACAACCCTCTATCGACTTGTGGCCTTCCGCCCCTGCGCCCACTGTGACTAAGCTGTTTCCGAATGATCGCGTGATCAGGGCCGAACACAGAACGCCCATCACGAGGAAAACGATGGAAGCAGTCGCGATGACAGGGCTGAATAGGTGGATAGTCAGTGCACAACCCAATAAAAACCAACTCGCACCCGACAGCTGGTATTGCTCGTCCTTCCGGAGGATTTCCTTGAAGACCCAGTCTAGAATTCGTCGAAAAGGCGGCACGTGGATGCGCATGAGGTCGCATAATGTCCACGAAATCGCGAACGCCCAGCACAAGCCGATACATACATTATTTGAGAAGCCAGCGAATCGCAACGTCTGGTGGACCATCGGAATCCCCAATCCAGTCAGCTTGAACCGCTTCCTGTCGATCTCCCACGCAGTCTTCGCAACCTTGTGACCCGCGACCCCAGCATTCTTGAGGAGGGTGTGCAGATGATTCGTGCGTATGGCCTTGATGGCCGCTGCGAGCGTCAGTGCAGTCAAGGTGAGTACTACCAGGAACAATGTCAGGAAGCTGTCGGATGCCGGGTCGCTTTTGACCGCCCATTCTTTACAGTGCTTCATGGCGCCAAAGCCGACCGCTGACGAAAGAAGCCTCAAGCCCCAATGGATCAAAGTGGCTACGGGCCCCCTCGCCTGACTAGTGCTCTGGAGGGAAAGGTCAGAAGCAGCGGGCTGGCCCGACCCCCTTCGCCTTCGCCTCTCTGAAATTTCCCTGGCCAGGAGTACCGGTATCTTTGCGTGGTGGAGCAGTCTCACAGCCACATGCCCTCGCTCGCCCTCAATCCAGACCCAAACCTCCGTCTCGATTTTCTCACGACTTGGGCCTACGGAGTTCTCGACCCCATTTCCAGAACATTTTTTTCGTCGGGTGTCGTTTTCCTATGGCCCCCATGGCCCGAAGGGCAGCAAATGACGCCCCGAAAACAAGACGTGCTGACTTTTTCTTGACGCGTCGAAATCTGGAGAGATGGGCGGCGAATCCCCCTCCTGACCAAAATCACCTCAACGCGGGTCTTTGGACCCCTTCTGGGATCAGTTCCGGACAATCTTCACTCTGGATCAATGTCTGACAACGCTGGGGCCCAGAACGTGCCTCGAGAGGCAGAAGATAACAGAAAACCTGCTCGACCAGACGACAACGTCGACAGGAAGACTGAAAACATACCGAGCCGACGGCGAAATCGAAACCGACCGAGCTGAGAGCAACCAGGAAGGGGGCAACGACGCAGCAGCCGACCGAACCGGACCGACTGAACGCACCCGACTGCGACGCAACCCACCGAGCCGAGCCCCGGACGCCCGTATTTCGGAGCCCCCCTCCCTCGCGGCCAAGGCAGCCGCGGGACGCGCTGGCCCCTGCGCCCTGTCTTTTCCTCCAGCGGCCGAGTGACGTTACCACAGCGAGAGCAAAAGTAGGACACGATCGATCACGCCAATGAGCATCATATCAACCGATCCCCATCCCCACTGGCATGGCCTTGGCCCCGCTGGCCGATTTAACTCCCTGGATGGGAATATAGGCTGTTCCCTTCGGGCTTCGAAGGGCCTATCCCCAACTGGGGTGGTGGGATGGCGGCGCTGAGATACCATCGCCCAGTGGGGATGGGGATAGGTTGAGCGATATTGATTCAAATTCCACCAGGCGACCCCGCGCCCCGCACACGAAGCAGTGCCGTCGGATGCGTCGGGTAGCAGCAGTGGCGGCGGCTTCGCGAACCGGTGCTGGGCTGCGGGCGCGACGGCGGCGGCACCCTCGCGAGGCGGCGGCGTCCTTCGGACGGCGGCGGCGGCATCCTTGGTGTCGGCCGCGGGCGGCGTGGTGCCGCGCGGTGTAGGCGCGCGCGAGTGCGCGCGCTGGGGGCGCGCCTTCGGGATCGGGCTGTCTGGGCCTGCGGCGGGGGTGAACGGCTGGCCCCGACGTGTGCTCGCTCCTTGCTCCTATTCGCTCCTTCCTGCGGCTGCACGCTTCTCGCCTCCTCGCTGCTCGCTCCTGCTCCCCTTCCTCATCCTTGTCCTGCTGCTCGTCCTCCTCCTCCTCGCTCGCTCCTCGCTCGTTCCGCTTCGTCTGTGCTGTTTTTCTCCTCGCGCGCTCTTCCTCCGTTGTCCGTCCGTCTCCTACTCCTACCAGGCCTTTTGTCAGCGACGGCGCCTTAACCAGCTGCTCGGCGGACACCATGAGGAGTCCGCAGGAATCCTCCTCCTTCCCCCCACCTCCCCTCGGACAGGACGCGGATAGCGCGGGCTGTTTGGCGGCCGCGAGCGTTGTAGCGCCAACGGCGGCTGCAGCCTGCGGGCAAAAGGTCCGTTCCTTTGCGGGGCGCAGTCCGCTCCACCAGCGGCGCAATTGTCGTCACCTTCGTGAGCTCCTGGGAGGTCCAGCGGGGACGCGTCTCAAGGCGTCCCAAGGCCAGAAGACAAGAATTGCATGAACATCAGCTTTCGGAGGTCCGCGCGGATTTCTTGTGTCGGCGCTGGAGCTCCCTCGCTGGCAGAGGCGCCGCCATGGGGGAGGCGGGTCCTACCAGCTGCCGCGTGTGCGCGCCTTGTAGCTGTTGAGCTCTCGCTTCTGGAGACTAACTATTGCTTATCCCTCCCACCGGTGCCCATGGCGTTTTCTCAATTGAGGAGCCCCTCCCCCCTGGGCTCGCACCCTGTTATTCCGTGAGGGACAGTCTTGATGCTCAAACTGCGACCTTGGTTCCCCGAATATGTTAACGACGGCTCCCGCCTGAGACTTCCCCATCATTTGCTCAGGAATTGTTCTCCCGCTGGCAATTCACACGGGAATCATGCTTTCGCCTGGGACCTCCTCGCAATTTACCCATGCACCACGCTCTCAACGCTCTCGGCGCAAGCCCGCTCACATGAATGTTTCGCCCGGCTCCGCCCGCCTCCCCTGCCCATTGAGGTCCACCCGATTGTATGCTTGGAAACCCAGCCGCCCGCTTTTGTGCCCCGCCCGCCCAAACCGCCCGTCAAGGTCCAACCGCCCAACCCGCCCGTCTGTTCCATCCGCCTGACACGCCCGTTAGGGTCCATCTGCCAATCTTCCTGCTCCTCTCTCTATCGCCTGCAGCTAAATCTTTTTCGTCCTCAATCCTTATCCCTCCCTCTCGCCTCCTTCCCTTTTGGTTCGTTTCGTCCGCACCCTTTTTGCTCTCTCCCCATGCCTTTCACCCTCCTCTCCCTCTACGGAAGGCCGCGACAACTACACACAGCAGACACTGAAGACATACACCAAGGGGGGTACGATCGGAAACGAAGAGGGCGGGTGTCGAGGGTTTTGGGCATTCATTTTGAATTGAACTTGAGCAACCCAGAGCGAGCAATCCTAACATAATTCATGCTGTTGTTTTGGTGTGTTTCGTTGTCGTTATACCGCGTCAAATTGCGGAATGAGGGGGCGACAATGCCACTTGTCCCACTGCCGCGCTTGAGCGGACAAAGTGGCCCATGCTCCAGGGCCAATGCCCTACCAGGTGAGGCTCCTGGAGGTCCTCGGAGGCTTCCTGGAATGTTTTTTGCAGGTCTCTGGAAATCCTGGGAATCTCCTGGAGGCCCCAGGCACGTGGCCAGTCCAACTGGGCCGTCCCAAGCCATCCTCCAAACTTCTCCTGCAGCCCGCCCGACACCCATCCGACTCCAGCTGCCATCTGTCCAACCCTGGCTCTCACCACTCCGAGTCCTGACTCGGGCCCTGGCCTGCCCGCGCTGCCCTCGTATGGCCAGTCCGTCGCACCGACGGTGCGCGCTCCGCTCCGCTCCGCTGCACCTCGCCAGCCACCTGGGAGGCCTCCAGGCGCTCCTGGAGGCTCCTGGAGCATGTGGCATCTGCATTTCATGCAGCAAGCGGGCCCCGCTGCCATTTGGACCAAGGAGGGGACCTTCTGGGGAGCCGAGGGCGGGACCACATTCTGGCGCACTCTCGAGGAGCTGACACCTGCGCCTGCGAGGCGCTTCCCTAAATCGTGCTCACATTTCAGCACTGGAGATGTACAAATGTGTCGCGCACCTGCCTAGCTTCACCGTGCTCCTTGTTTAAAGAGGCGAGCACTGGCAAGAGGCTTCGACTCGCTGTTCTGGCGCTGGTAAGAAAACACCACACACATCATCGACAAGATCAACGTCGACATCATGTAACGGCGGTTCAGACATGACGCCCTGAAAGATGGGTGCTGACCAAGACTTAACCTGCAAACGTCGTGCCGATCTTGATCACCATCCGTCTTTGTCAACGTCAACTCGTGGATCATCCCCGCGAATCGGCGACGGCCGGCATGGACCATGTCCAAGATCGGCGTCGACAAGATCCCGCGACATCTTGGTCGTGGTCAATGTGCTTCTTCCCTCGACCAGAGGACGAGAGGCCTCAAACTATGTGAATCCAACCTGGGATCATTTCCTATCCTCAGGGTCCCACCCCTCAGGGCCCCATCTTCGACCCTCGAACTGATAGCATCACTGATACGGCCAGGAACTTATGGATAGCGTGTCGCCACGGCGGCCCTGGCGACCAGAGTCCTTGCGAGCGGATAGCGTGTCGCTCCGCTCCGCGGGATGCAACGCCCTGGAATTCTCGAAACATTGACACCTCGGGGCCGCGAAGTGCATAGCGTATCGCACCGAGGCGCAGTGGGCCAAACATGGCGGAGTGACACGCTATTCAAAAGTTCCGACCGTACACCGTCTGTCGCCACCGACGGGGCTCCAGGGAGGCCCGTGAGCCACGTCGGGGGCACGCCAGCGGCACTCGCGGCCTGCCTGCCCAACACCACGGGTACCCCGAATGATCATGGAATCGTCTGGAGGCACGGCAAGTTCGTGTCGTGACGACCCCAGCGTTGGTTTTCTGACACCGCGTAGATCGTTCAACCTTGAACGATCTGCGGCTTCTTGACCACCATATTGTTACATGTTGGCCGATTCTGGGCCACTGGCGGCGTTCAACCTTGAACGCCCGCGGCGGGGTCGCCGCTGCGCCGACACGACGCGAAGCTACCATACCCTTCTTTCATCCCTGCCACGACGGGGCTCTCAGCTGCGTCGAAGCGATTTGATCTTGTCTGCTGCGACCGGCCGTCGCCCACCGCACTGTCCCAAATACCGCTTGCATCGGCTGTTGCGACCTCCCACCGCCGGCCACATCATGGCCCTTCATGTCTTGGCTAGATCGGTTCGCCCTTGACAGTCATAAAGTCCCAGACCCTGCTTACCTTGGCTATTATGACTTCTCGCCGCTGGCCATAGGGTCCTGGGTCCTTCTTGCACTGGCTGCTGCAATTTCTGGTCGCTGGCCAAAGGGCCCCTGTTTCTGCTTACCTCGGCTATTGGCCGCCCTGGTCGCCAAGAGGCAAGGTACTCCATTGCGACGACTTGCAGTTTCGGGTCCACGCTGACATTTTTTCAGCACTAATGGGCGTATATACAGCCACACCAAAGATCTACGGGCTTTCAAAGAAAGAGGGCTCGAAATCAGCGTGAATCGTGCGAGATCCGAGAATCAATACTCGGCGGCAACTGGTAACCAACGCTGGAACTGCTCACGGCACGACCTGTACGCT